GTTGGGAGCTGTGCGTCGTCTGGCGTATGTGAGTAAAGCAATATATTAAGAAATAGCACTAATATTAAGAAATACTAATGAGGAGTATTTTGGTAATTTCTTTTGGGGATTTTTAGGCTATATAATCATGTAGTTGCTATAAGACACAAGTAACGGATCGCTGTGTGAATATAAACGACAGTAGTAACTTACCCAAGTACCAGTGAAGTTGTCTTTTCTTGAATACCATGGATAAGTTCTTGAGAGGCTTCGAAAAGTCTTGCTCACTTCGTCACTGCATGAACAAAGGTGATCCATAAGCCCATTACAATAAATAAAACATTTAGAAGACTTTCTTTGATTGGCCTGCATTCAAGCTACCATAAAAACACCGATGTACCTGCATTCTAATTTTTACCACATCCAGCGGTGTCATGACAAGTGATGTCACTATACCACCCAGTGAAGCCGATAAAATCCGTTGACTCAAACTAGGATCCTTTAATTCCAGGCTTAGTGACTCGAAGTTCAGAGCATTACTGTTCATCTCAGAGAGAAATACTAATCAGGCATGGGTGAGTAAGTGGAAACGACGCTAGCGGCAAGGGAACTGATAAAGGCGCCAGGGAACACATCTAATCGACTTGTACAATTGAAGATTCGACAGCATTTAAGAGTATGATTTTTTATATGAGCTTTAATTCACTTATTAATTATTTTAATTAGTTACAAATTTAAAGATCATAAAGAATTTAGTTGAGCATTCTTTTTCACTTTTTACTTTATTTCATCAAACAGTTTAGATCAGGTATGAGCCACTTATTAACAGCAAAATATAAAGTTGATTATATCACTTATACAGTTGCTGCATGTTCAGATAAGACTAATTATATGCAAAGAATAGTTGGAATTTTATGAATGTCCGTCTTCCGACTTGTGTTCGACCCTGCGCAATCGGAGTGACAGTCAAAATATAGATAGATAGAATGTAATGGCAGTCAACAATCTTTGATTACCTAGAACAGACGTTAATTTTTCTGTTATAATTACTTTAAGTAATCACTGCTGGTTCAGTATATTTACGATCACATGAAAGCGTGTAAACTCTCACATGCTTCGAGATTGAGGTTGGGTTGAATTCAACGGCTATATTTATATCTCCTTAAAGAAGATACTTGTTAAGTATATACAAAGCATTTATGGATGAGCGGGCGATTTTTCTTGACTCGTTAGCTTGAATATGGTTGTAAGGACGATGCCCTGCCGCTGTGATGCCGTCAAACGACGGACAAAAGAATATCACGCTTTCATAGGAATCGAAGAAAATTGCCTCAGAAGCAGCATCAGCAATAATGTTATAGTAAAGCCAATCGACAGTTTGTCAAGAAAAATTTGCCATCGTCTTCTAGTGGAATCTGTCTTTGAATCCTTTCGCTAAACATTTTTATACGAAGCGGAAGTTATCCCAACAAATAAGTCCTACTAGTTTGCTCTGAACCCCTGATGGCTGGCTTCGTTTTTCAACCTATATATTATGATAATAATATTTTCTGGACGCTTTTTAAATCTGACTAACTATATATTCGTTATGTTTGATATAATTACAGATTAATAAATCTTAATAATAATAATTTTATAATTTAATATGAGCGTAGACACATTGTAAATTGATGTAATAACAGCATCAAGTAAACTTTTTGAAAAATGGAATTTAACAAGACAATAAGCGTTATACTTCAATGTTGACTAGAATTATACTTTTAGAATAATTATGCTAAGCTCGATTAAACTTCAACTTTTGTGGAAATAATGTTATAATTTTAAATGAATGTAGCCTAGGTTATAAATTTGGATAAGATTGGTGGGAAGACTTTCATTTCGTATCAAAATAGATGATGAAGAGATTCGAAGGCCAATCTCATCAGAGGACGTCGGCTGATTCGCGTTGTACTGCAGCTGTTTGGAAGTAAAACAAGGCTCAGGTTGTGCAATCTACGAGACATCCTCCAATCTTTCATTCTCGCATATGTCTCAAGTTAGCACTAAGTCAAGTAGACTGATCCACTCTTTTCTGCATGATAT